TGCAGTGGCGGTGTCCTTGGAGACCAGGAACATCTCCACGAGTTTAATCAAGTTCTCGATCCCCTCCAAATAATTTAGATCCAGTGCGTTTTGATCCTCCGCTGGGAAGACGTGCGTGAAATCGATCATGTTAATTCTAACCCAGTTCTGCTTCTCCTCCGTCGAACTTGTAAGTTCGTTCAACAAATCGTCGTAATCTTCCTTCATTCTTATAATGTCGTCGTCGAAGTTATTGACGTACGAATGCGTACGACAAAGCCGATCCACTCTAAAGTCCGGGCTACACGATCCGCTTCTGTTCAAAGTCTTTTCCTTGGCCGACGATTCACACTCGCCGCTCAAGCTGATGCTTCTCTTAATAAAATGCACCCTTTTCGTCGTTCGGTTCCTGTTCGTTTTGACGTCGTTCGGGATTGAATTACTCGTCGCGTCCTTCATGTTTTTGAACACATTCGACGTGGTCGCATGATTATTTGTGGAGGAAAATGACGTGGACACGTGGCTAGGTGATTTATTGACGTTCGTATTATTTAGGCGGAGATAATGCCGCAATCGTTTCGCATCGTATGCCACCAACAGGGAACTAGAATAAAAGCGGAACAACCGCTGGATACGAAAGAATAGTAAGATCTTCCACAAGAAAGAGAGCAGCATCACAATCAATTGACGACAGGGCGGTCTTTCTGGACTTATATTCAGGAAGATTTTCAGCGCTGCGTAGGAAAGAAAAGGCACTATTTGGAATAGTTTGAATAAAAAGAAAATGAAGTTGTTTTAAAGTGTTCTGGAAATGGCTTCCAGCGCTTTCGTTACAATCGTTCCTCATATGATCCAATAGTGATATGTATACCATTTATACAACTATACGTACGTGACTAATGAAACATTGAAAAAACATTTGAATTATAACGCTAGCGATATTGTCTCGTAAATTCATAATAACGTGTGTATAATGCCCTATAAAATAATTGAAGTTAATGATAATACCTTCCACGACACCCTTAGCATCAAGAGTCTTGCCGTAATGTTTGCCAAACTGTTTTAATTTCCCGGAAGAGACGCAATATACTTGAAAGCCGGTTATGCAGAATCCATAAGTGCGTTTAGATTCGGCGTACTTTAATTCTTCTGTTGCTTTTTTCTCCGGCGTGGCTAAAGGATCCCACGTTCGTCTACCTATTTTTATATCCATCACGCACGGTTCCGCCATACCATCAGTAATATCTTTCAGCGTAAGGAATGTTACTCCTAATATTTTACGAAAACGATTAATCATGTTGTGTTAAACTACACGAAACCGAGATTTTTCAGCAATTAAGTATGTAGGTAATCTTGGGATAAACTCTTTAATAATTATTAATACATGCATGATAAATTGACAACTACTAACTAATCGAATTTATATCATTTATAACTACGATCCATTTAATTTACGCCTTATTCGTTCAAAGGGTCTACTTATTTTCTTTACTGTTAAAGATAAAAAAAAATTATTCGGGAAAAACATCCAGTAACTTGTTACCGTAAATTAAATAAAAACTTTTTTCTCAAGTGAAAGAACGCTAGTGAAAATCACTAACATTTTACAAGCAATGAATACGTATTTTTATTCTCGTAAAATATTAGTGATATTAAGTGTGGATAATTAAAAAAAAAAAAAAAAAAAAAAAAGAAAAAACAGGAGAACATTCGAAAAAAACTTATCAAATTTCATCAGAAGTTCATCATGAAATTATTCGATTTCTTTCTTGATTATTTATCTTTAACTGCGAAAAAAATAATTACACATTTTGTTTCTAAAAAAAACTATATTGCATGATATCGTTTATTTTATATTTAATTTACTCGAAATGACTTTTTAAATACAATTGTAATGGTAAAATATATACAAAAACCGGAATCAAGGGAGTAAGAAAAAATGTATGAGACAAGTTAAAAATTCGATACTTTTGATATCTTACGTCTGCCAAAAATTTTTAACTCTGTTGTGCCGTAATATCGTGGAACATAGTTCTTCAATTGTAGCATAACAGGGTCTTGAGATGTTTGTAAATTTTCATAGAACGAGATTTCCCTTTTCCCAAGTAATGGTTTAACAACGGGTTTAAATACACGGCCATCCGACATCCTACGTAACATGCCTACAACATTTATTTATTAATCTTTTTATAACATTGATCGTTACACTAATGAAAATTGTACAATTGGTGCTTTTGTTTTTCCACGACAAAAAAGTGAACGAAGTAAAAATATAGATTCACGCGTATGTAACGTTTGTTAAAGTATAAAAACGAATGGAAATATTGTTCATCTTTCGCGCAGAACGTTTCTTTGGAAATGTAAGAACCGACGAACTTGTCTCTTGTTGCTCTTCCTTATCAAGTAGCTATTAAGACAGTTCGATAAAGTTGTTTGATCGGCACGTCATCATCCGCGGCGTTTAATTCGATCAGATGCTTACCAATCGTTTGCCGTTCGATGTCTAATGACGGATGTCCGGCTACCCGAGATTCCAATGGGCTTATTCCAACAGGAAGTCCATGGTCGGATGGAATTTCAGCTAACTCTGTGCTCGAAAGCTTATCAAGATGGCATAAAGTTTTATCGGCCTGCGAGTCTAAGGTCGTCATCGTGTTATTTCACTGAATGGTACGCAGTAATTACTTCTGCAATTAAAGAGTTGTACGATCTTATCTCCGCTGCAAAATCCACCACCTCGGCCACCAGTAGTTAGTCATCGAAGCTTATTCTAATTATCTTCGGCTGTTTTACTTCCGTCTATAAATACAAATTTCAGTTGATGAGGAAGTCCAACACATCGTAAGCAATTGTATGTAGTTATAGATTATAGAGCATTAAACTAAGTTGCATGATCTTGTACGTGGTATCTCCTCTAAAAGATCCACTAAATCAAAGTAAAATGTTCCCGCGGTTTTTAACAGACTATTTTGCAACTACTTTGCGTCGTATTATTCGTTGTTCAAATAAAATGAAAATTTCTTTTCACAGAAATTTGGAACTTTCCCTATGTGATTTTCTTTCTTTTTTTTATTATTATGAATTAAGCGTACAACCTGAAAAAATAAGATCTTAAAAGATATTAATATTAATGATTTAACGTAATTAATATCGAAGTTCCTAAGCGAAATAAATTAACACACAAAGATTACGTATGTATGTTACATCGTTTAAAAGAATTTCCATGTGTCTTATATTTTTCATTCGACAAATTGGAAATTCGATCGTGCTACAATATATATATATCGATAACTTCATTCTTAAAATAGATGTTACCTTCGATTATTTCTTTCTCACTCGAATATCCACAATTTAAAATTTTGGATAAACCGTATCACAGATAAATTCACATCACACTGAATAATATACAAGGTGCAGTCTCTCAATGATGGTCTTTCAAATGATCGAAAACCAAAATAAGTTAGAACAAACATTTCGCGCGATATTTAAAACATCGTGTTAAGGTACTCGTCTAGATCGGTAGAGGGCAGAATGTGCTTGCGGAAACTAAATTCGCGCTTTTACCAACAAATCGTGATATTCGTTCGTCTTTTGAAACTGCAATATTAGCAAAGACAGTATTTGTATAATTAAATTATATTCGAACAATTGTCTATCTGATTAACTACGTCTACCAGGTATCAACGTGTACAATCGTTCAATTAATACCGAATTGCGAGGTGATTCGTAATATTTTAGGAATCGACATTCTCAGCGTACGAAAGAATCATAAAATACAACTCATATAAAGCATACGTACATTTATTGGAAATAACAGGAGAAAATTTTATTAGCCACTCTTCTTTTACAATTGTTATATCTATGACATTTTACATGCCTATGTATTATTATAACCTATACAATAACCAGTCCACAACACAGTACAGTATAGCTCGAGTACGTAACACTTCACGTAGGCAATTTCATTCGAATCCGTCCGTGTATTAGGCGGAACAAAGATTACATTCACGAATTTGAACTTCACATAATTATAAACGATTGTACGTCCTACCACTAGACGTTTTTCTACTTTTCTATTGCTGCTTCTTTCGTCACAGTACGAAGATTCTTCTAGATTCCGCCAGAGGGCCATTGTTTTTATGAAATGAAAATCGTTCCCGCCTTGACCCCGAGATTTTACGTTCACCAGTTCATCGACTGGAATTGTACGTTTTGACACTGTGTTTTACACGTGGTTCCACATTTCGTTCTTTCCTCCAATTATGTCATAACCTAAATAATTTGTTCGAAAGTCGATGTTTACGTAATAATATAGCGTAGGCGATATCATTATCTGTACTCGATTCAAACGTAAGTAGTACTGTGTAAACACAAATTGACACACAAAATGATAAACATCGTACAATGTTTTTTTTTGTAATGATATTTGAATCTATTAATATTCTATTAGTAGATATTGTAACAAGTAAATTTAAAAGCAATCAATAATTCTAAAAGAGCAATTTTTAATTTTTGCGTGTATTCTAAATAACGTATGTAATAAAATCTTACAAATGTGAAAAAATATTAATTCTTTGTAATTTCATGTTAGTGAATATATTGAATATATTAAAACAAGATTTAACATAGAAGAAAATTACAAAATGTCAATAGAAAAGTATACAATTTTATTGAATATTGTTTTCTTTTATACATTAGTCTTATTACGCTTATAGTAGAAAAAAAAGAATGTTTTATATATAAAATTGAACCATAAATATTATGACATAGTTTAAGCTGTCCATTTTAAACATCTTGTGTCAAGGTGGGTACCTAAACACTTCATGCTGCAGTACCTAGCTCCACAGGGAATGCACGTATAATTACTAGGGAAACCACAAACTGCGCAAAACTGTCGTTCAGGGAACTTAGATGGCAGAGCTTGAGCGGATGCATAATTAGGTGGATTTGGATTAATATTGAGATCTTCCTCTACTAACTGAGCAAACGTTTTGCGAAATCTTTGTTTATAATATTCTGCCGATCTGGTCTTTTTTCTTCTGCCACCTCTGTTATCTAAAGTCTCTTGAAATTTTGGAACTTTCTTGCTCATGACTGAAACGTTATAATATTTGTGAAATGTTATAAAATATTATGTTGAAAATGCTATAGAAAGATAATATTTAACAAATAGAACTATACAAGATTTTTACATACCTAAATCAGCATGAGGATCATCGTGAAAATTATCTTGTTCCAAAGCCTCCAATGCTTTTTTTTGTCTGCGTTTACGAGTAGCTTCATCAAGCACTCTCTTTTGATATGCATCTTTTATTCTACCAGATTCTCGTGCAGCCATATTTGATTAATTTACAATAAATTACAATCTTTTAAATTATATTGTAATAAATTACAAATAAGATATTCTTTGTCTTTATATCCCTTTCTCTGCTAAGGGAAATGATATTTGATCCATAAGATCATCCACTTTTGATTGTAAGATATCCAAAATATCAGCAGAAATAAATAAATGTCTCTCATCCAGATCTTGAATAATAAACTTTCGTCCTAAAGCAAATGTCTCGTCTAAATGTAAAAGAAATTGCTTCATAGCTGCATCACTATAAACATAATGAATAGTTCCCTGTAAAATTTCTTGCTTTGTTCCAGCAAGTTTAAATAAAATGTCTAAACGAAAAGGAATTTCTTTTGAAGAAAAACGTATAAGAATGCTTGAATTGTTTTATGAAAAAAGAGAATTTTTTACTTTGAAAGAACTAGAAAAAATTGCAACTAAAGAAAAAGGAATTGTTGCACAAGCAGTAAAAGATGTATTACAAACGCTGGTAGATGATGGATTAGTAAGATCAGAAAAAATTAGCACTTCTGTATATTTTTGGACTTTTCCAGGGTAGGAATAAAATATATACTTTTCTTTTACCCAAAAATATACAACATTAAAAGAACTAATAAATAAATTAATATATTACATAGAGAAAATATTACTGCAGTAGAGCAAAGAATATCTGAAGCATCAAAAAAAATAGTAGAGGCAGAATTTAAACTTCAAAAATTGAAAGACGCTTGTGAAAAAGAAAAGGTAACAAAAAGAATGTTATATACTACATTAGAAAATTTCAAGGTTATGTTTTTTCTATATCCTTTTGTTAAAATATACAGATAGGAAGAGAAAATACAGAGGAAAGACAAATTTTGTTACGTGAACTGGAAGAATTAAAAGCTAAAGAGGATCAGTTAAAACAACAAATTGCTAAATTTAGTGATGCTGATCCAGAAGTTATAGCTAAGATTGCTGAAAAAGCACAGGTATAAAATTATGAAAACATTTAAACCTACATTAATTATAAACTCTATTTTTTTTTTTTCGTTTAGAAATATAAAGAAGCTACAAATATATGGACGGATAATATTTTTGCTATTCAAAGTTGGTGTAAAAATAAATTTGACATATCTGAAGGATGTCTCAATAAACAGTTCAATATTCCTGATGATCTAGATTACAAAGAATAAAAAGATTCAAAATTTTCAAAAACTAAGATTGTTATTTTCTATACATACCATTCAACTAAAATTCCTTTTGTAACATTTACCATGACTTTTTTTCTTTTGTCTTTCACAAAAGTGATCAAACATTTAGATCTTTTATAATTATTTTACTTTGTGTAAAGGCCATTGAATATATTTACTAGATAAGAAAACTACGTACAAACTTAGAATTGAATCTAGTATGTAACAATTGCCAATAGAGGTGTTAGTAACAAAATTTTATATAACTATGTTTTATTTATAAATTACTGACATTTTTATAAATTATAAATATATATACAAAGAGGACAAGATTATAATAAATTTATAATACTTTGTTCTGTGTTATCGATAAAGTTATAATATTATATAAAACAATACGTTTTCTTTTATTCATTACCAAGTACAATAATATGTTATTCATAAATACTTAAAATTCATCATTTATTTCTATTTATTCAATCAAGAAGTAGAAATTACTTTAGTCAGATTTAAATTTCGCACAAATATTTTACCAATCGTAGGAAGAGTTTCAATAATATTTGACTTAAACGCCCTCTGGTAGAATATTTTGAATGTCCCTGAACTATTGCATCAGCCATTAAAATACCCTGAACTCAAGCTCAGAGGAAATCAGTGGTTATACATCGATCGAAGCATCTATTCACGGTTAGACTACAGAGATCTGTGAGAATTTTACTCGCGCGAGTGTTAGTAATTTAAAGTAAGTTCGATTTTCATTTTTTTTCAAAATGTTCGGAAGTACTGCTCAATGTATTTTTTGTTATTAGTAATATTTTCTGTTTTTGAAGTTTTAAAGAAACAATACAAGTTGCTAAATTACTTAGTCAAGAATTTTAATGTGTATCACTCAGCACGTGCAATTGAGTCACAATTTTTGCAAACCCATAACGAATTGTGGACTTTTTTTTATGCTATTCTAATTATCCAAAGTTACTTTAATCAAAGTACAAAATTAATGTTACGTAATGTAACTATCATTGAGCTGTTGCTTATTGTTACACTTGTTTTATTAACAAAAAGTTTTGAATTTTCTAATAAAATTTAATTTTTCTTTTAAATGATTAATATTAATATAAAAAATTAGGCCTTATAGATTATATTACTACAAGCTCTATTGGAATGTAAGCACGTATACCATTCTTTCATAAAACATTGTGACTGTGCGATCTTTTACAAAACTATTACAAAATATTGTGTGATATTATGTGCATTTAGTTAGACGACAAAAAAAATTAATTTTTTATTTTATAAATTTTTTATTTTATGAATTTAACGGTTGTGTCGACGTCGGTCCATTCGCCATCGTAAAACTGCACCAAAACTGAACATTCCAAGGTAGAATGCAGAATATTGCATCTTGTGAATCATTGAGGTGTCAAATTATAAAATTTTTACTTTGGTTAAATTAAGATGCTACACAGATATATATATATATATAAGATATATATATATACCTATAACTTATTTGACCTTTAGACAAATGATACTATGTCAATGTCACAATGTCATTTTTTTGAAATCGAATATTCTTACAATTTATATATGATATATTTTATCATTGCATTATGTCTTTTTAAGTGAATTATTATTCGCGTTAGAGTATTCAATTATCACATTCTTTTTTTTTTTTTATCATTGTGATCAGAGTGGTTTGACACGTGCTGAATATCGGAACACGTAATACGCCTTGACTTTTGATAAATAATGATCTTTTCACTACAATAAAAACACATTACGTTTTCCTACTTAATAATTAAATTCTTAATATCTAAATTATATACAAATTTCTTGTGTAAGAATATTGCGAAACCTGAACCTTTTATTCACGCGTTTTGTACTTACGTAACAAAAGAAGTGCGACACGAAATTATTAAAAAATTATTTAATAGACACAGTAAATTGATAAAAAAAGTTTCAATATGTATGTTATTGATATTTTAAAAACTTATATATAACAATTTTATGCAGATTTAAAAACCATGGGTGTTCCTGCTGGCGATGTAGAGAAAGGAAAGAAGGTAAAAATTAAAACTATAACATTTTATGTTTGGTTTGCTATTGCTTAATTTCGAACATGTTTAAAATTTTTGAAATCTATACCGGAAAACGCATGAATAATCTTAATCTCCCGTTACGTATGGAAATATTGATACTACGTATTCACGTGATTACATGTCACGGTAATCTTCATCGGTAATATAGATTTACCTTTTATTATATCAAATAATTATTTCTAACGATTTCTATTCGTGTTTGAAACAAAATTAATAATTGTTTTAAAAAATTGTTAAATATTTATTTATGCGAAAACAATTTTCTTTTCTTTTATTAGCTCTTCGTTCAAAAATGTGCACAATGCCATACAATTGAAGCTGGTGGAAAACATAAAGTAGGACCTAATCTCCATGGAATAATAGGTAGAAAAACTGGCCAAGCCGCTGGTTACAGTTACACAGACGCAAATATATCAAAAGGTATACTTTTTTATTTTACAATGTTTTTTAAATATAGTACTAAATCATTTTATGTACATATTGTTTTAGCTATCACTTGGTCCAGGGATACTTTATTTGAATATCTTGAAAATCCAAAGAAGTACATTCCTGGTACAAAAATGGTGTTCGCTGGTTTGAAGAAAGCACAAGAACGTGCTGATTTAATTGCGTACATTGAACAAGCATCGAAGTAAGCTTGACAATTATAGAAAATGACAAAGCACGCTAGACGTGTTTGGCGGGCATAGAGGAAATCTAGTACTAATATCATCTCAAACCTCATGAGCATCCCGCTACATTTCACTCAACTCATTCATCTGGTACTCAAGCATTCACAAAGTCTGAATAGTGAAAAATTATTGTTGTTAATTATAAGTAGATGTGCCCGTGCATGTAACCATGTACATTGACAGGAGTTGGATCATTTAGATCCAATTCTGCTTCATAATTAAAGATATTTTGGTGCTCTCTCGCGGTGGCTGAGCCATACGTAGATTGCGCGCTACTATTTATTTGTAATTATAAACTGTTAAAATTGTTCTATGAACTACTAAGCTGTAATGCAAGAGTATGAAAATACAGATTCAATTATGAATTTGTAATGTTCATTTTTGCTGTATTAATAAAAAACTAAGTATTTCAACGTCAGGGATATAACAAAGTACAAAACGGCAATAA